CCCGTTATTTTATTTAAAAATATTAAAACTTTAGTACTCGCGTTACCTCTAATACTAAGTTAAGTAATAATAATATTAAAATATATCTCTTAAATAATCTTAGTTACTTATATTAACTTATTAACGTTATATAAAATATAATTAGCGATTAGGAGCTACGTTTTTATTAAGCCTATATAGAGGACGAGGTACTTATAAGCTAGGAATATATAAGTACTCGTTTTAAGTACTTAAGCGAACTTCGAATAATACTTTTTTTAAAATATCTTACTTTAATTAAGACGTAAGCCCGGCTTATAAAAAAAGCAATATTGTTTAATAAGAGGCTATTCTTAGACCCCCTCAGATCTTATAATCTAAATTATACTATTTTAATTAAGCTAAGTATCCTATATTATTATAAGATCTATTTTAAAATATTAAATTTAGCTACTTTTAATAAATAAGAGGTATACCCTCGGTAGTATTTTTAAAAGACGTTTTTTTTAAATTTATACTACTAGATCCTTAACCCTAAAATTATTATATCCCTCTATAATAAGTTAAAAAATATAATATAGCCTATTTTATTATAACTAGCTTTATTTAAAAAAGGCTAGTTAACTAGTTAAGCCCGTACTACTTATAATAACTAAAGTATAAGTAATAAAAAGCGAGGCTACTTATTTAAAAATAAAAATAAGTCGACGCTAACTAAGTTTATAAAAAAGATAAGTTAATTAAGTTAAAGCTAAATATCGAGCTTATTTTAATAATAAATAAAGAACTAGTTTAACGTTCTTAGTAGGGGGAGGATAATAGGGAATTATATAAATAAACGGCTAATATAGCTTAGTATTTAAAAAAAACGGAGCTAATAAGAAATAGTTTATAATAATAATAAATTATTATAACTACGTTAGAAAAGGTAGTTAGGTAGACGTTATTATAATTTACTTTTTATATATTTTAAGTATATAGTAAAAAGAAGCCTTGCTTATTTAAAATTTATAAAAACTTATATTACTAGTTAATTTAAAATTTATAAATTTTAAATAAGTAATATAGCGGTTCTAAACGAGTACGTAAGTTATAGTAATATTCTTATTTTTAAAAATTTTAAACTAGAGTTTAAATTAGAGAGGATAATAAAAATAGCTATATTAATATAGTTACCCTTACCGCTTTTATAGGGAGGTACTATTTTTTTAGACTAATTAAAAAATAGAACGGTAACGCCCGTATAAGAGCGACGCCCGTATATTAATTTACGACGCCCGTATATTAATTCTTATTAATAATTATTAATATATTTAATCTTAATAAGAATATATTTAATCCGCGCGCTAGTTATAATAAATTTATACTTTTATTACTTAACGAATTTATTAAGGTTTAAATAATTCCTACTTTTTTTTATTATCTTACTATTACTTTTATTTTTACTATTTTTAATAATTATTATTACCTTTTTAAATCGCTAGCTATTATACTTACTAAGATCTTCCCTTTTATTTAGTATAAAAAGGTAGGTTTTAATAATTCCCTTTTTAATAATAATAATAAACGTTTATATTATTATAAAAAGACGTAATAATTAGTTTTAAGATCTTTACTAATTACTAATTTTCGTTATTTTTTATATTTCTAACTTCTTAAGCCTCGTACTCTTTATAATTTTTAAATTACTTTTTTTTTTACCTTACTTTTTTTAGGGTAGTATTTTAAAAAAATAGTTAAAAATAAATACTGGGCGGCTTATAAAAGAGCTAAATAGGCTATTAAGAACTAAATAAGTAATTAAGTACGGTTAGTAAAGTTAAGCCCTCTTTTTTATAAAATTATAAGTTTAAAAGACTTATTAAAAATACTACTTACTACTTATATTAAGTAGGGCTAATTACTTTAAAAATCTTTTTTTTAACTACTTCTCGGTACCCTATTTTATATTTTTTAAGTAGTCTTTTTTATAACTTAATTATTATTAAGTAATTATTATTTATTAATAATTCTTTTTATTACTTAGTTAATTTTTTAAAATTAATAATTTTATACTAAGAGCTAATATAAAAAAGAAGCTTTTTAATAACTTTTTAAAAAATTCTTTTTTTTCTTTTTTAAATCCTCGTTTTTTTAGCCTTTTTTTAAGTTAATAATAACTATAATAAGAGATCGTAGGACTATTTTAAAATAGTTACGTTTTTTTTAAGTTAATTTTTAAGATCCGTAATACTCTTAGCTCGATATTATTAGGACTTTTAAATCCCCTTTTCTTTTATTAAACCGTTCTCTATATTATATTTCTAAATAATACCCAGAGGGTAGTTAAGGGAGCTATAAAGAGGTTATTTAGATTATAAATTTAAAGTCGTATTTATAAAACCCTCGTAATAATAAACCTTTTTATATACTATAAATCTCTTAGCTTTATAACTCTTATAAAGTTATATTTACTACTAAATAAAAATATTTATATTTAAAAATCCTTTTTTTTAATTACGTAGTACTCTTTTATATTATACTATCGAGCTCGTTCGTTATACTAATTAGTTAGGTAAATAGTTATTATATAAGTATTTCTTTAATCAATTTAACTAGTTAATTTCTAATCGTAAGCTAGTTATAAAAAAGTTATTTAATAAAAAAACTACTTAAAATAATAATAAAAGACTAGTTACTTAAGTAGTTTAATTAATTAATATAGTTTAATATAATAAATATTAACTTTTCATAAATAATAAAGGGCTATAATTACTTAATTCTATATAATATTTAAGAATTACCTTTTTTTTTATTTATTTTTATAAGGCTAATTAGTATAAATCTCCTATCCTATATAGTATTAAAAAGTTATCTCTTTTATATAATAAAATACTTTATTAATTTATAATAATAGAATTTAATTATTAATTAGTATTAGTATCCTTATTATAAAGTAGTTAGTTTAAATTATAAGTTAATAAAGAGATTAATTAAATTATATAAATTTCTACGTAAATATAAAAAAGAAGTTCTAACTATAAGTTAGGTTAGTTATAATAATCGTAAATAGGGCCCTTAATTAGCCCCTGCGTAGTTAGCTATATACTACGGTTAAATTAGACTTCTAATCTAATAGGGAGTGCTTTTACTACGCCGTAAGAAATCGCTATATCCTACATTGCTAATAATACCGCTACTTACGGCCGAGCTTGAGCTTTCTCGAGAAAAGTCTATCCACCACCAAGGTTTCTTTGAAGGAAACGATAGCCTGGGAAACTCAAGAGAGTTTTAAAGAAAAGAATCATCGACTCAACCCGTAGTACCCATGCCACAAGACTACAAGTGCCCTACAAGAGGTTTCCTGCTCTCTTGCGAAAAGGCATTGTATGCATTTACCGATCATTTTCGAAGAAGCAGCTATTAGTCTCCGCGGGAAAGCAGGTCGAGTGGCTTTGTGTGAGTTGAGCTACCTGTGAATGAACTGAACGACTGCATGACATGTTAAAAGTTTTCTCCTATCACATCAATAAGCTGACTGGCCCGTTCACTATCGTAGCCTCATTGCGGAAAGGTTGTGGCGGACAGCTACATAGAAAAGAAGCCTGGCGGCTTTCGGCGTCTCAAAAGCCTTCTTATTCGCTACTCCGGAGTGTCTTTGAGACAATCTGAGCCAACCTCTGTTACTCCAGAACAGAACTCTAAAGCTCAAGATGCTTCCGGGACTCTGATCTTCAACAGCATAGGCGGTTGGTTTGAAAACGGGGCGAATGTCAATCCCCGACAGAATCTTCCTCAGCATCATGAAGTCCTCAGCTCGAATGGAAAGGACCCTGATCTCTGCAAATCGTCTCGGAAGCAAGTGGGAAGGCCATCGGTATTTCGTCATAGCTTCGTGCTTTTATGTATTCCCTTCATGAGATGGGGTACAAAGGCTGATCAGCCTGATGTGTGCGATATTCGATCTGACCAAAACTTCTTCCACTTGCTGCGCGCGTCCTACGAGACATATCGAGCCCAAAGTCGTTGGAGTTGTCTTAGGAGAGTCAAAGTCATTGGAATTTTCAAGGTATGATACTTTGACCCCTTCTCAACCCACATAGCCTCTAAGTATTCAACTCAAGATGCGCTTTCCATTAAGACCTGACACTAACACGACCCTTGACTGAACTCAGTTTGGACTCTTCCGCACCCAACTGGTCAATTTTTCTCGGTCTTCCTTTCTGTCCATTGGACCAGATTTCGATCATGAAACAGCAGATACTGAGCCGCCAATCGGAGTCAATCTCATGATGCATTTGTTTGAAAATCCTGATCATGCTGATATTTTTCCGGTACTTTTCAAAAGGATACCTCGGAAGATGAGAGAAAGATTACAACCTTGTCCAGTTAAAGGGAGTTCCGATGGATGGGGTATGCAGTTCGTGGAAACGCCGAACGAACTCTATGTATTCATGTTCGGCTGTGCTGGATTCCTTCTTTGTCTCACGATATCGGTTACATGGACGTTAGTCAAGAGTGATGTTCAAGGAGGGTTTGCGATTGGCGGATTTGCTCTCGCATTCACACTATTTTGCGGCGGATTACTTCACTCTTACAGTACCTGACCTTGAGCTATATGTTTGGTGGCTTGAAAGAAGAGATAAGTGGGTGATACGTTTTAAATACCTTCTGCATGTTATAAAATAAGGACCTCATGATCATTCCAAGTCCCAATTCAGGTCTGAATCTCTTCAACAACCTGTCAGCTTAGTTCTGAAGCCTGCAGCATCAGGTAATAAGGCATTGATTGCAAGCTGAAGTATCCCATAACAGCCCCATAATCGAGCTAGCAACTCATGAATTCGACTTCAGAGCCCTGTCATAAGCTCGTATCGAATGTGGCTGGTGACAGAAGTGGCTTAGGGAGACCGTAAGAATGTGGAAGATGTTCAAGAGAGGCAACACGTTTGATGTTGGGTCCTCCTGAATACTTGCAATTTGCCTTGTCGTTTGAGGCCTCCGGGACGGGAGATGATAGACATGAAAGACTTCTACCTCTATCAGCTAAGCTCTCGAGCACCATGCCTAAGCTTGAGATCGCGAATATATAGGCTAAGGAGTATGCCATAAGCGAAAATCCACCACATTACGAGCAGGAGTCCGCTGATCTCCAGACCGATATAGTACTTATTCGAGTACCTCGTCACGTACCCAGTCCCCCACACCCAGGCAGCAATCAGCATCGCAAGTTCAGGTCTGATCTTGCTCGGATTAACCCTGAGCGTAGAGCGAATGGCGAGTTTGATGAGCGGATAGAGGCCCCAGGCGATGAAGCATACCAGCTCGAGATGAAAGCCCACGATGTTGAGAGTCTCCCAAATACTATCGATGAGCGAAGAAGGTTTCGGCGACGTGAAGGGAAGCACAACTTCACATAGAGCCTGTTTATGTAGCAGTCCGCCCCGCAAGAGCTTGAAGTACGCGATGCCGACGGCCACAATATGTGCCACTCTCGCGTGGAGATACTCGGCACATCCCAGAATCCAGACCAGATAGACGACTAGCGCGGCTGTCTTCCGCTTTTCGATCGCCCTAGTTCGAACACCATTTAAACCGATCCCGCTCCAGCTTCTTCTTTGATCATCTGGCTTGATCAGGCTGTATCTCTTCAAGACACGCACAAAGACGACGGTCCCAATGATATCGCCAAGAAGCTTCCACGCCCCTTCCGACGTGAATACCCTCCCGAAGAAGCCAATCTCAATCTCCTCCTTGAGGAAAAGCGCTGGACTACCCACAGCGAGTTTCAGAGTCGCGATTGGGCCCCCGAACGCGCCCACACCCAGCGCGGGCGCGAGCATCCTCCTAACGTGGTTCACCAGCACAGCAAACCCCACGACAGCGAAGCTACGCGCGTATCCACCGCCAACTAGTGCCGCAGCTGCTGGTGCAAGGCCCGATTGTCGCGAGTGTGAAAGGAGACGCGCGATCTGAGATTGATCGCCTATACAAAGCCGTACAAGTTGGTAGAGCTGTGCCAGCGCGCTGTAGGATGCGGCTGGGATCAGAGCGAATGGGTCATCGGAGAGAGGCCTGCCGGTAGCTCTTAGACTTCCGTGCTGGGCGGTTATTGAAGAAAGCTGTTTCTGCGGTGGTTTTGTATGCTCAGGTACTGTTTGCGAAGGGTTGAAGAAAAGCGCGTCTGACTTCTCCGGCGGTCGCTGGCGAGGAAGTGAGGGATCAGACATCGTGGCCTGCACAGGGTTTTCTGCGCTGGCAGCGTCGTCAATGAGCGAAAATATTCCTCCTTCGATCTCTGGTACAAGATCAAGGACTGAGGTAGCTCAATCGGAGTGGTCGAAGTAGATGCCCGATGCTGTTGTTGGGCGATCTGAGGCTGAATGTGTGAAAAAGCCACGACACAGAGGAGTTTTACTTTTTCCTGCTTACTCAACGCCAAAGAAGACTAGCTCACCGAGCCGTGAGCCCACCAGCCACGTCAACAGCCGGAAGTAAACAGAATGAGGGCGATCGATCTCGCGACTTTGCCCTTCTGGTACTTCATTACTCCAAGATGAATTCGAATGCCTTCTCAGGCCAACGGGCCTGCGCTGTTCCGCACGGCGTCAATCCCCCGTCACGCCCCATAAATCCCGCGCCGGAGTGGGGTGAGTCGGGGCAATTTGCGTTCACCGCGCCGAAGGTTAAAGGCGAATCCGAACCCGGTACCGATCGGCCCAAGTTGAACGCGTTTAAGATGAATCATTCATATCAACCTTAGGACGAAGCATCGGTGCTTGAGTGTTTTGACTAATTCGAGACCCCCAGAGCCATCCACTTGAGCATTGTCTGTTTTCAATTGTCGCTTCGAAACTTCCACCTCACTCAAGATGGCCTCGAAACTCCAGCAGCCCAACGATTCACCGTCGCTCTTTGTCTCCCATTCCCTTGAAACTCAGTAACATTTATGTTTACCAAGGCTTTTCCATTGGAATTTTGTCCTTCTTGAAACGCAAAAGCTGCCACCAAGCTAAACCATGTCACATCCAGCTTACGTTATGTCACCGTTTCGCAGGTTATCGTCTAATCTCTCTTTTGCCTGAAGGATTGCGTCTGAAGGATCGTGCATATCGTAGCGTACCTTACACGTGATGGGACTAGCCCCTTGCCCCTCATCCATTCAAACTCATTCCATTGTCAGCACCACGGCTGAATTTCATTCTCACTCACAATCTTGATTTCTAATTCACAAAAACATCGTCAAGTCCGTCTCACGACACCGCCGCGATGGGGCCAATCCTCACCGGGCTCATCGCCCTCCCAATCCTCTGGATCGCTTCTCAAATTTGGGCTCTATACACAAACTACAGATCGGCTCTCACCGTAGGCTTGCCAATCATAATATGCCCATATGACCCAGAAAACGTAAGCTTCCACGACATCTCAACCGACAAGTTCTCATCTGACACACCTCAAGCTTATCCACGTGGTGCTCTCCGTCCCCTTCCGCCCTCTTCTCAAACGCTTCCTTCCGCCAACCTTCTTCGCCACCGTAGAACTCACCGTCGTAGGCTGGGAGTTTCGCGACAAGTCCTCCGTTCACGACCGCGTCGGTCCGGCCTTCATGCTCGTCACCACGGGTCTCAACCAGCTCATATGCGCCGACCCGACCATGGCGCACGCCATCTTGAACGGGCGGCGGGAGTTTGTTCAGCCGGATATCGTGTGCAAGGTCATGGGCTTCTTGGGTTCTAATATCCTGACTGTACGTTGAGTGCCTTCCACAAACCGACTAGCAGTCTCAAGCCCCTATGTTATGATCTCAACAGATTGGGATGCAGTTATGCCGAGTTTATCGCTTCATTCACAGTGCAAGGAATCTCAAGCTGACAACATTCTCTAATCTTTCAGTCCAACGGCGAGTCCTGGTCCCGCCAAAGACGCGTCGTAGCCCCCGTCTTGAACGAACGCATCAGCCCAGAAGTCTACAAAGCCACAGCAAGACAAGCAGAGTCCTTCGTCAACAACATTCTCTCATCCCCTTCCACCAGCACTCCCAGTATGACCACAGCAACAGCAACAACATCAACCACAATCCAAGGCCTCCGCACAATCGCAATCAACGTCCTCACCAAAATAGCCTACGGCGACAACAAACCCTTCGCCATCACCCCTCTCCCTGGCGACCCCTCGGCACCAATGTCCTACGTCGACGCAATCTCTCTCTGCACGGAACTCCTCGACCTCGCCGCCTTCATCCCCATCCGCATCCTGCGGCTGCCTTTCATGTCCAACGTGGTTCAGACGTTGGGCGCGGCGTTACATAGATTACCTGGTTTGACGGTGGACATGCTTGATCGGGAGAGGCGGCGGTTGGCTGAGGTATCATCTCTGAATGGTCCTTCTGACGAGTTATTGACCACGGCGACGGTGGGAAAGACGGATACGATCATGAGCATGCTCGTCCGCCTTTCAGACCAAGAAAAGAGCCGTGCCGTTCCCGCCGAAAAGAGCGCTACCGCCACCACTGGCAACAGCAACCCCAAATCATACCTCACAGAAGAAGAAATCGCAGGCAACCTCTTCATCTTCACCGCCGCAGGCTTCGACACGACGGCAAATACCCTAGCATACGCCGTCACCCTCCTCGCAGCGTACCCAGAGTGGCAAGCCTGGATCCAGGCCGAGCTCGATGTCGTTCTGGGCCCTCCCACGCCATCAACATCGTCCTCGCCGGAGCAGAAGGATCGAGAACTGCCGGACTACAGCGTCGTCTTTCCCAAACTGACGCGATGTCTCGCTGTCATGGTGAGTCTTCTAACGTCCCATCTTGCTCGGCACTCACTCAGTCTATCTCTCTTTCCCACCCATCTTTGAGTGAAGGCGGCCCCCATCATATCCCATCTCCTCTTGCTAGATAACTAGATCTCCCTCTCCGCGGGAAGACATACACGTATGCTACGACAAGATCCAGACTGACAGAATCCCAAGTTCGAAACCCTCCGCCTCTTTCCGCCTCTAACCCATTTAATGCGCTCAAACATAACAACCCAAACTCTCCCAAGCCAAATCCCAACGTCAACAACCCTCCAATCCTCCTCAACCTCAACATCAACCTTACCATCGTCCACAACTACCTCCTCATACACATTCCCTCCTTGCACAGTCTACATAAACACAGTAGCCCTCCACACCTCCCCCAAAACCTGGGGCCCCGACGCCCTATCCTTCACCCCAACCCGATGGCTCACCTCACCCCAGCCAGCACCATCATCATCCTCACCACAACCTCCTCACATTCAACCCCCCCGTGGCACATTCCTCCCCTGGTCCTCAGGCCCCCGCACCTGCCCGGGCCAAAAAATGGCCCAAGTCGAATTCGTCACCGTCCTCGCGACGCTCTTCCACAAATGCACCGTCGAGCCAGTCCCTGAAGACGATGAAAGCGGCAATACCCAAGCAAAAACAACACCCGAGGTAGCAGCAGCACAGGCTAGACAGAGATTATTGGACTTGACGCAGGACAGCCAGCCCAGGCTGACACTGCAGATGAATCGTCCCAAGGATGTACGGCTGCGGTGGACGCGGCGGTGAAAGTAACTAGGAGATAGGGTGATATCATTTAGAGTCACAAGAGAGGCGCAGAGATATGATTTCAGGAAAAGGATAATTCAAGTTCTATTTTTGATGAATCGATACCCTCAAAGCACTGTCTTCCATAGACTGAAGTACAGTGCCGTGCTTTTCCGCTTGTAGCTATTCAACGCCATCCCACCCGTTCCCGCCAGATTTCAAAACTTCTCGGCGGGTTTCAACTGAAATCCCAGATCATGGCCTGCTTGGTTCGTCCTCATCGTACAACACGTCATCCACTTGCCACACTTTAGGGACGTATGAGGCAAAGGTATTACAACAAGCCCATTGAAGGGGCCAAATATGCTACATTGGGCCAGCTTCCCCTTATTGGCAGATCTCCTGGACCGCCGGCTCCGCTCTTGCCCTCACCAGTTCCTGGCGGCGATTGGCTTGATGACTGCCAGATTCCTCAGCCAGCACGATTCCGTAGACTGCTCGCCCGACCAAAGCCAGGTAACCATTTCCGCTTGTGCAAGGGTGCGCCACCACTCGCAGAGTTGCTCGTGGGTGTGGTCTCTGTGGAGCCAGGCGTTCCATTTACGTTCGGCGTGTTCGGGGCATGGTTTGCCATGGGTGTAGTCGGGGCTGTAGGGCCGTGATCATACACAGGCGCACCCTCGTCAAAGCTGCCAGAACGAGCCGGACGAGGGTTTCGCAAAATGGGAGGCGGTGTCGCGCTGGCCCTGTCCTCCTCGCCCGGGTGATTTCGCTGCACCCATGATGGGACACCCATCGGGGCTTGGGGCGCAGTTGGTGCGGGTGGCTCGGCTACCGGTGACGCATGCTGGACAGGACTCGGAGCGGTGCTACCTCCGATGGACCGTTTGAAGAAGTTCAACCGATGCCCACGGGGCGCGGCAGTCGAGGAAGGGGGATAGTGGCTGCTGTCCTTGGAACGAGCACCAGTCTTTGAATCATGCTGCGGGCTGTTGGCCACTGCCTCTGCCAGCTGGATCATTTGCGCATCAACACTGTTGCGCCTAGATCCGCTTTGAGATGGTGACTTGCGAAGTTTGCCGTTAATGGGCATGTTCTTTGACGAGGTCTGGCCTGTTTTAGCACCCAAACTCGACCTCCTATTAGGCGGAGGCAGGGGCTGAACCCCGTCTTGGAAGAGGGCATCCTCGGCCGTATTACGTTGCGGCGGAGGGAGACCTGGGACCTCAAATGCACCACCAGAAGAACCGAACATGCCAGCTGTGTTCCATCCGCCGGACGGAGGAAAGCTGAATAGGTCCGGAGACTCACTCCGCTGCTGTGCAATGAACTTTGGGTCCTTGCCTTGCTGTAGCCAAATGTCGAGGCTAGAGTCGAGGGAGTGCATCGAATCTCCATCAGAGTCCCAGTCGAGTTCTCTGTGATTCGATATCGTAGTTTCATCTGCCGATCTGGGGCGAGGGATCAAAGGCGGCCGGGAGTCGAAGTAATGGGCACTGGCTGGCTCTTCGGGTCCAGTGAATGCAGAGGATGGGGGATGTTGGAATACCCGTGCACCTCCGCCGTGATCCCCCTCATCATCCTTGGACGTTCCCCTTGACACTGAGCGATAGCTATGTTGATCCGACACAGCTCGCTGCTTCGAGAGCGTGTCATTCGACGTCTTGAATCTTCGAAGCGTTGATGTGGAAATGGTGTCTGGTGTCGGAGGAAGGCCTTCGCCGGGGTGTGAAGCTGGTGAATCTGTTGTCACTCTCCGCAATGCTTCGCGCTTCGCGTCCTTAGTCTGCTTCTGCGACTGCCCTCTTCCTGCCATCGGGGAAGAGTCTTGAACGGGCAGACTGTCCAGATAGGTATGATCGAGCCTCGCTAGCTTTTGGAGGGGCGAGGTGTGGTCGATGATGTCGTGGAGCGACTGGAACTGGCCTGGACCAGGAGCCCGACTAGTTGAACTGGACCTACTTGGGCGACTGGATCGTGTCGACATGGTGGTCGGTGGTCTTTGGATCCTAGACTGGTCGCTGCCGTACGAAGCCTTCCGAGGTGGCGCGGAGTGTGGTAAAGCACCATCCATAGAGTGTGGCTCGTCTGCATCGGCCACAATTGTTTGATCCTGGTCCTCTTTCTCGCCATACACACTTACAAAGGAACTTTCACTGAGGACGCTGAGGCTCGGGCTCGTCATGCCATTACCACGACGTGGATCCGTCTCATCCACTGCCTCCGTGTTGAGCCTCGGTAAGCTGAGTACGCTACCGCGCGAGCTGAGGTAGACTTTTCGTAGGTTCTCGGTATTTTCGGTATAGTCCGATAGAAAACTCGGCATGCGGTTGAGCGTCTTAGCATCATCTTCAAGTCGTGCCAGGTCCGCTATTCTAGGCTTGGGCGTGGGGCTTCTAAGGCGAGATTCGAGGTCGTCGGGATGTAGGAAACCGGCTGCGTCGACCATTCGAACCATTTCCCGCTCCTTTAATAGCGTCTCGACCTGGGCCTCAAGAGTCACTATCATCTGGACCGCCTCCTGCACAGCCTTGTCTCGCTTCTCCAACTCGTCGAGTAGCTTGTCGTTCACATCGTCTATTTGTGCTTTCTCGGACTCGAGGGCGTCGACACGCTCTTCGAGCGCATTTTGTCGTTCGCGGCGGTGGAAGAGCTCGAGCTTCAGGTCAAAGTTTTGCTTGTGCAAGGTGGAAACAGTCTGTCGAGGCAGCTATCAGTAAGGGTAGTGTACAAAGATGTGATCCAAGGCTACTCACTGCCTCCATCTCCTTGGCGCCCATGCCTTTATTCTTTGTAGATTCTCCATTGCCTCCACTTGATCTCGGCCGACGTCCATCAACGGACTCGCCTTTCACGGGTGAACTTTGCGCATGTCGTGGTGGTAATTCTACGGAGGCGGCCATGTCCTGCGTTGACCGTACCGCGGCCAACCTGTCGGCCTCCTCTCTTCTCCTCTGGAGTTTGTCCTGGAGATAGGTGGATGCAGCGCTCTGCCTTCCAGAATCAGAGAACCGGTCTCTTGACACAGCAGATCCAGGCCGAGAGGTCACCATCGACGGAGTGCAAGAGCTGTGATGGAACTTGTGGGCAGTGTGAGCACTGGGTGGTCTCGGCGAGGTAACGAACTGTGAAGTCGAACTATTTGCGCTTCGAGGGGTCCGTCGGGTTGCACTGGTACTTGTACTTGATCTCGAAGTTGGACGTGGGTAGACCGGAGAGGGTAGTGACCTCTCGCGGTCGCGCGATTGAGTCCGCGCAAGACTGTCCATCGTATCTAAGGGAAAAGAAACTACGGCGTCCTGTGCTTGATCCGATTGCACGAGAACAATCGCCCGCCCGCATGCAAGTCGACCTAGAAATTCGTATTATCAGACGGCTCTTTGGCCCAGAGGATCACGCCGACAGTCGGATTGGAGTGCTGAGTGACCGAATTGGGCGACAGCAAGGCGTCGAGGATCAGGATGATGCCTGTTCGAGGTGCAGAAGCGCGAATGGCAGTTGCGTCGAGCTAACGCAGCTGAAGGGGGGACGAGTACGGGAAGGGCAATCGACGTTCTTGGTAACTGAATAATAAGGAGAGGAATCCCTGGGCACGGCGCGGCAGCGAAAGGAAAATTGCAGTGGTAGCAAAGCCGTCGAGTCGTGGCTGTGGATGCGCTTTGAAGGTATAAGAGAGCTGCTATTGTGAGAGAACAGGCCGAGACCTGGTTTCCGCAGCTTTGGGCCTACGCGACTGCTGATGGCGGCATGTGGTGGAAGTGCCGTGCAATACTCTTTTCCCTGGGCGATACGGAGTAGGTACTGAGGGGAGAACCGACAGGCCGTCTAGACAGGAGCTTTGCGTTACGTCGGATGGCTCGCCATGAACCGATGCAAACGTGGAAAGGCAGGGCAAGCGGGCGAACTCTCGAGTCGGGTCTTTTGTCTCCCACAACGTCGGATCGGCAGTTGGGTCCAGCGTTGGAGGCTGGGCCGTGTCGCAGACGTTGTATCGCCGCAGCGCAAATGTCTAGGTATCGCGATGCCGCAGGAATGTCTCAATTGACGAGGGGCGGCGATACTGGAATGTCTCGATTGCGTGGTGCTTGGTGGGACAAACGGAGGGTCCTAGTCGCAGGAACCCAGGCAAGCTGGCGACAGAGGCTGGGAACGCAGGGCAATGAAAGAAATACTGGGTATCTGGAGCTGAGCTGAAGTAGTGAATGTCGATGGTGGTTAAGATGATGTTGATGATTATTGGCAACTAGATGGAATGGTCTTTAGTGAATTGCCACCGTCAATGTCGTGTTCGCGAGCAATGCTGGTGTTGCGATGGACAACGATGTTGGTGTCGTCTAAGAAACGATAGGCGACCTGGTCAACAATGGTGGAAAAGCAGCTAGACACCTACAGGACCAGGCTCCGGAAAGAGACCCTTAGGAGGTCCAGGGAGCAGATAGCGACCGATCGACAGGGCTATCTCGGGGTTGTTCTGTTGGCCAATTGAAGTTTAGCGATGCGAAGATGACGACGGGGTTCGTTTCTTGGTCAAGATGACTGATGATAGTGGTGGCAGTTGTTGTGGTGACCCTCGCACAGAGAATCTGGCGATGACAGTTCGTGGGAGAGGAAATGGAGAATGGCGAGGATGACGGAGCAGGTAGCACATTTCTTTCTGTGCCCTCTCTCTACTGCAAATGATCGGCCGCGAGTCGGAAGAAGAAAGAGACACACACGGCTGGCGGCGCAAAGGGAACCTTGGGTGACGGGAATACGCACACGCAGGAGAAGGAAGGGGAAGGGCGTCTGATGCAACGGAACAAAAGTGACGAGGGTAGCTGCAGGGGGCTTAAGGGTGTGGAACTGTGTGGATGTGACGGGACCAACTGCAGGCACGCGGGGAGTCAAAAGGCAGCAATTCCAAGGTTGAATTATTCGCCAATGGGCAGCAAAGCGAGTGACAAGATGTGGGAGACCGCAGACCCTTGCAGGAGAAGAGTGGGATGAGGTGGGATGTGATGGGCCAGACGCGATGGTTGGACACAGGAAGGAGATGCGCAGCCGAGCAAAAGACCAATAGGTGCAAGGATCGCGGTGGGGGAAAGGTCGAGCGAATGCCGTTGGAGGATGCGCGTTGATTATTTGGTGATGTATTCGTTGGTGTTGGTGATGAAGTTGGTTGGATCTTGCAGGCAACGAGAAAGAAACGGGGAATATCAGGCGAGGTGGCTGGATTGGTAGGGCCGTATGAGAGTGAGAGTGAGAGTGAGTCTCAGGATGAAAGTGAGATGTGAGTGAGTTGCAATGGTGTAAGAACCTCAACTGAACAAGCGCAAGCACAGGCAAGAGAAGATGCGCCTCCTCCACGATCCAATGCTTCAAAAGAAAGACATCAGACCAGTCGAGTAGAGAAAAGACGAGCAAAAACTAGTGAAATGGGCACAGATGCCCGCTGCAGGCAAACAAATATTCTTGCTTTTTCCCATCCGTCAGCGTGTCTCTACCAAGCATGCGAGCCAACCCATTTCTCAGTGTCCGAGAACATTCAATCGACTCGGCCAGCTACCTAAGCTGTTGCGCGTCGCGCCTCACTCTGATCGCTTGGTGCCTGATTGTCCCTCGCTCTCTTCTTCGGTCCTAGTCGGATCTTCACCAAACCTTCAGAATTGGCGCGCCGCCCGCGCAAGCTTCCAGTCCTGCAAGGACAGGAACAGGAATAGCATCGGACAAGGGAGATTGCCTGGCGCAGAGGTCGCCGCTGTTAGTGCCGACGACCGGCACCCGTCAGTCGCTAGTCTCTGCTCTAGCGGCACGTTGCGTGAGGAACTACTTACAAAGTGTGTTAGCTAAGAAAGTGAAAAGCACCACCACGCAGTACTGTGCTCCGTACAGAGTTTGCCATTGACCGACATCTCCAGCAGACTCAGTGGCGTGAGTGAATTTGACTTCCAGGTTCTGGGAAGCTGTTTGGGCAGCAATGAAGTCACGAGACGAATGTGTCGTGTTGGTGATGATATTGGCGCTGCTATCATCTCATTCTCATCTAATGTTTATCTGACCACCCAAGTCTCGCTCAGCTCGCGCAGCTGTCAGATCCTTCTGTCCCTCAGGTCGGTAATCGCTATGACCTCTGCTCATACATTGTCAATCTTGCATTCCTTTGCGGTGAAGAAGCGTATGCGCAATGTGGAAATGCCGACTAACATGAAAAAGCCTATAGCTCGGGCATTTTTCTCATCGATTGATTAATCCTTTTTTTTTCTCTCGTTTTTTTCTTCTCAATGGCGCCGGCACTAACAGCCACTACAAATGATCCGAGCGCCCCTTGCATAAGCCAGCACTTGTGAGCTGTGTGTGTGATTATGTAAGAAGCCCTGTTCTTTTGTGTTTGTGCACGCGTTATGCAGGGGTACGTCTCTCTGGCGGGTCCCCTGCACGCCGTCCAATTACTCCGAGCTGCCATCCTTGTTGCTTCTGCTCCCTCCTCTGCATCTTCCTCCTTCACGCCCAATAAGAGTCGATTCCAACGTGATGGAAGCAAGGTCCTCCCCAGTTCCCCGGCTGCAGGCTGACTCTGCCGTTCAAGAGCATCTTCAAGGGGCGCGCCATGATCCATTGCACCCGCTCGCAAAAGGGGGCAACGAAAGAGGGGTTGATTTGAGAAAGCCGCAGGCAAAATGTCGTTGTGTCTCTCTCCACGAGCAAGCCTTGCTTGAAAGAAGGAGGCTGGTGTTTAAGACAACAGCTGACAGTCCCTGGCAGATACCGAGGCAATGTTGTACGAAATACGGATATCCGGCCGCCGGCTGCTACGTCCGTACCGAGTCTCATCTCTCATCAAGAGGAAGAAAAGAACCGATGGCGGTTCAAGGGTCTTGGTCGCAGTCGCTTCCCTTACTATCACCGTCAAAGCGCAACAAGTCCTGCGGCTGTCCATCGATAGACACAACGGCAGGTCACATTGGTACCTGATATTGACAGCCCTCTCATCTCGTACAAGGTCGATTGGGTAGCGCCACGACGCCGAGCCGTGAACCACTCCACCTGGTCCCATTTCGATGCGACTGCTTCCTTCGTCCAGAGCCGTCGGCTTTTGACTCTGCGCCGTCTGCTTCTGCCGATCCAAGTTTGCAGTAGCTCCTCTACCGAACTCCTCGCAGACTATCGTACGGATACACATCGTGCCAGGTCCATCAAACGATCCCCAATCTTTTTGACGAGCGTCACCCACCATGGCTCTATTCAGTGTTTCTCCGTACCTGATGACAACCGCCCACAATGTATCCATGAATTGGGACTCCGCGTTATAAGTTTCTACCACTACGAGCCAAGCCAACTCCAACATCATCTCGCCACCAACGTAGCCCAATCTGCGACCTATACGGATACCCCCGCCCAACTGCGCATCCTACGGCCTGCCCCGGCTGGTTTCACGCATCTAACAAACGCCTCCGGCCACCGTCCCCGAAGCCCAAGGCCCACGCCCACACCAACGCACCCAAAACACCAAAATAGCGTTCCCGGAATCTGGTTAACGTTCCGCTGGCCCCACCGGCCTCGGCCCCAAGACTGTGCGCGCGCCTGGCCTGGTTGTCTTCTCTTGCCCTTGGTTTGTCGCCTTCGTTCGCCTCTATCGAGACCGTTCTGTCCAGTATCCACAGCATGCAAGCCCGATCGATGGGAGGGAACCAGCAGATTGAGTTCTCCCTTCCATGTCCCTCCATGACTCGAAGATCCTCATGTGATACGCAACACAGGAAACGAACCGGCGCAGCCGTTGCTCGAACTCAAACTGCGAACCGGCGTCTGGAGTGCGGCCCGCGATGTGACAGAGGACAAGCCCGCCGCGCCCCGTTGCGCATGCCCGACGCTGAGCCGGCGTGTACGCTTGCGCAGCGGCCGATGAAACCTTAGGCGGTCAGCTCGGCGGTCTGCAAGTCCGCATTTCAATCGCTTGGGAGTGCTGTCTTCCACTTCTCACGTTTCCCTACTACCGGTGTCACTCACTTAGATTAGCTGTGCCATCATGTTCTCAATCACAGTCACACCTCACAACGTCAAGTCTCCAAGAGGAGGTGCAAGTTTCCCTGAATCCGGGCAAAGAAGCACTCAACCTGAAGCACTGCAACCAACAGAAAATTTATCCCTGTTGCTACCGACCCCAGACAGCTCACTGATTGCAAGGGTACACGGCGAACACGAACGCGACGCCAAATGCCCCTCTAATCTTGCAGCTTAATGTGTGTGCTCCAGAGGTGCTACTGTCGACTCAGACATCCGACATCAACGTTGCAGAAAGAAGATATCTTGCTACCTGTGGTATTGGCCATGTGACCATCTAGACAGAGGCCGAGTCTGATCTCCTGCGCAGTCCGATGTGACCCACTCGTTCGCACCTTCTGCCTGCGAGCAATTAATCACCTGCCCAGGATACCGTCATTTTCAGCGGAAAGATGACCCGAATGCGTCGAATCGGCTTTGCAAGCTGCTTGGGCTGTGACCCCTGTGGACGCCAGATTTGACTCTTCTGTGCATGTAGGAAGAATCATGACCTGCAAGGTCCGATTTCTCTTGAGAGCCTGGTCACAAAGGCGACTTACTATGCAGAAAGCATGACGTTCGGGCGGGTACCAGATACTAGAGATGAAGGCCAATTGAGATGTGCATCTCAGCGGACCGTTGTGATATTATCTATAGAAAAGGAAGAACAATGTGGCTTGCTTGGTCTCCTCCTAAGTGTAGGCTATGCCAACCCTTATTCAGAGTATGGTTCTTCCCGAAATTACTCACGGCAAAGCTCTGTCCACTAACGACAACCCGCAGACTCTCGCCGGCCTCGTATTCAACCCCGAGCGCCCAAATTCCAATGTCCAGCCTGACTACCTCGCCAGGCGTAATCTTCTCCTCCTTCTCGTGCGGGTGGAACGGCCAGTGTGGGTGCATGCTCCTGGTCTCATCGATGGCTCGATGAGAAGCCCGGAGGATGCCCACAGGGCCCTTGTACAGCACGACTTCCGTCTCTTGCTCCGGCTTGAATTCCTGGAACGAGTTCACGGGTATGCCCTTCCATGGAATGTTAAGGTTCTTCATCTGCTTCCCATCTTTGTCGAGCTTCTGAATCATAACGTACACATCCATGTCGTCGTGATCTGGGCAAGACATGTACAGCACGGCTTTGGGTAGGCCCATGATGTTGGTAGTTTCGAGAAAGGTATGAGTAAAGCTGACGTTTCCGCCAGACTCGGAGTCGTAGCTGACCGTCGTCTTCGTCTCTGGCGCAGTAGTGGAGATGAGCGTCTCCTCCGTGCCAAGAAAAAACTCCTTGTACTGCGTTCGCGCCGGCGGGAAATCCTCCTCAACAATATTCTCAATCGCCTGGGGAGTTTTCTCGCCAAACCGCAGCAGAGACATCCTCACCTTGGGCGTCTTCTCCCACCCGTTATCGACGCCCTTGAGGTACCGGTCAAAGAACGCAAACAACTCATCTTTGGCCTCAGAGTTACCCCAAAGGTCAAACCACTCCTGCCACGGATGCCATCTCAACCACTTCTCCTTCGACTGCACCTCCAACCAGGCCCGGATGGCACCCATACCGTGCATAGTGTTCGTCCATGTGCCCGTAATATACGTTGGCACATTAATCTGCTTCATATCTGGCCTCTTGTCGTTCCACCACGCGTTAGCAAGCGGATGCCGCGCGTACATCTCGCGAAAGCTCTCGATACCGCCGCGGCCTTTCAGCATATGCTTGATAATCAACTCATCAAATAAGTCGCCAGCGTACACGCCTCCCCGCGCAAACTGCTCGCGGTACAAGTCTCCGCATCCTTCCCACGGCGCAATGGCCTTCAAGCTCGGCGGTCGCAGCGCCGCGATGAACCACTGCGCGATTGCGAGGTGCGAATTCCCTGCGAGTCCGACGCTACCGCTACACCAGGACATCGCCGCCACGGCCTCGATGGCATCGTACCCGTCTTCGGCTTCTTGGCCGCCCATGATGACCATTGGTGTGTTCTCGTCGCCACTGTCAAAGGCACCGCGCGTGTCGATGTTGACGATGGCGTAGCCGCGGGGAACCCAGTCCGCCGGGTCAGGCGCCTCGAACTTTTCCAGGCCGGAGAGGGTGCCAGACGGGATGCCGAGGTTCCATGGCGTCATGTAGCCCAGCGACGTGAGACCGTTGAACTTCTTGCCAAAGGGGGACCAGCATATTAGCGCAGGCACTTTCTCTGTGGTGTTTGGCGGGCGCAGTACGTCTGCGTAGAGTGTCGTTCCGTCTCTGACTTTGATAGCGACGTCGTGCTCTAGTAGGATGGCGGAGGGCAATGGGCGCGCGTCTGGATGGGGATGTTTCCAGCCGGCGGGTAGGGTCTCTGTATGTGGATTGAGGCCGTCGTAGCCATCACGACCGGGTGTTGGTGCATTCAACGGCTCGATAGGCACTTCTAGACCGGAGAACCTTGAAGACGGCATTATGACAAGGGCCTTTTTCTCTCTTGCTAACTTGTTCTTAGGTCGGAGAGCACTTTGCTATAGTGTATCCAGTGAGACCGTTAACCTCCAGTTGCAAGTCCCGGTCTACTTGTACAAATGCCATCTTCAAAGACTTCATGACTTCGGCTTGTACAAATTCCAATTGATTCTAACCCCTCCTCTCCCGGCCCTCCGCGGTCATGAAAGGAAGAAACTGCTGTCCCGGCTGCTTACGGGGGTGGGGTGTGATGGAGTGTCGTCCAAGTCGGGAAGAAAACAGGCCCGCCAACTCCCGAACCGAGCGCCTTACACTAGACTTAGCTCCCAGCCGATGCCGAACCGAAGCATTCCCCTCGAATGTACAGTGCTAGACTAGTATCGTAGATATCCCCCACCACTCTTCCGCCCCGTACCGATGGGATTAAGCTAGATTGTTCCGAGTGGCTAGGAGTAGCTTTCGGCAGGATAGCGGAACATGCTCTAGAGTTGTTGCACCTGCCCGAGCTCAAGGTACTAGTTAGTCTATGGGCGGGCTTACGGCTCGGTGGGCAGGAAGTGTCTTGATCGGTTCAACACTTTGGATCATCAAACGTTCATGTTGCCTATAAACACAACGATTCATTCCATTCCATAGACACGAGTAATATCTGGAGAAAATCAAGCTATACTGAGGCATTGGATCTCACACATACCTTATTCAACCGAAAGTTTCCCTCATCTGACGCTTTCATCATGGTCATCGCAACCGACTTTGCAAAGCCTTTGGCGACCATCCCGGTCCCGGACGGAAAGAAGATTGTCAAAAATGCATCAGCCACGGCTCCCTTGAAGCCTCAGCCGGCGGGTCCCAACAGACTATTCTCACAAGAAGGTGCAGTCTTTGGAGATTTCCGTGATAATCTCCTCCGCGATGGCTACGTCGTAGTCAAGGGCGCTATTCCCCGCGAGAGAGCAGATGCCTACGGCGAGGAAATGATGTCCTACCTTGAGAACTTGTAAGTGATCTATTTTTTCACACTTTCAAGCCTCTCAACCGAACCAAAACGCTGACAACTCAAATATAGCGCCGGCGGTCTCGGCTTCAACCGCAACGACCCCTCCACCGTCAAAGAATCCAACCTCCCCATCATCACCGAAAAGGGAATGTGCCTAGGCTACGGCGTCGCTCACGAGTCCTTCACCTGGGCCATCCGCCAAGAACCAGGCCTCGTCGACGCCTTTGAAAAAGTCTACGACACTCCCGACCTCATCGTCTCCTTTGACGCCGTCAACATGGCCTTCCCCAACCGGCCCGACGTCAAACCCAACAACCCCTGGCCGCACCAGGACCAGGACCCGGAGAAGCCAGGCTTCCGCTGCCTCCAGGGGCTCGTGAACCTCCTCCCGAACGGGGACCGCGACGGCGGGCTCATCGTCTGCAAGGGCGCGCACATGCTCTCGGAGGAGTTCCACGAGGCGTTCCGCGGGGAAGAAGATAAGATTTGGGCGTGGACGAAGGAGTGGTATGGGTTCACCGACAAGGGGATGCAGTGGCTCGAGGACCGCGGGTGCGAGTGGATCAAGGTCAACGCGGAACCTGGTGACTTGCTGTTGTGGGATAGCCGGACGCCGCATTATAATCTCAGCCCGGAGGGCACGTCGCCGCGGTTTTGCGTGTATACTTGTTACATGCCGGTCGCCGAGGCCACGCAGGAGGACTTGGTGCGGAAGAAGGGCGCGTTCGAGGAGTTGAAGAGCACGACGCACTGGCCTAATGCGATGCACGTTGGCGGCATTCCGGTGTTGAGGAATGGGGAGCCGTGTCCGTATAATACGGGCAAGCCGAGGAGTGTGCCGAAGCTTTCGGAGAGGGGGTTCAAGTTGACGGGTATTCCGTATATCCAGGGGGTTCCTATTGATGCTTTGGGAGAGTGAGGATGAGGTTTGTGAGGACTGGACAGATGTCTGTGGAGGATTATGTTTTGGCTAAGCTATCAGATTGTTTGTCTTTAGTGTTTTGAGTAAACTGTCATCCGTTTAGTCTCAGTCGAGTTTTGAATACTCTTTGACTTTGCTCCCAGAAAGATTTTTTTTCTATGTAATTTTACCACGAATTGATGAGAAAATTAGCATTACTAACTAACCCTGTGCATGTTCTCAACTAAAAAGCACTTTACTGGAATGAACGATCTTCTGTAGGCGAGAACAGCCTGGGGCCACATCGAGAATGACACCCGGGAGATTCTTTGAAAAGACCATATTCCATCGACCACTAGATGAAGTCAAAATATACAAATCTCTTGATTTCTCGCCCACTCCGATTCTTTTTACGACTTTCTCATGCAGAAAAAGAAAGGATACGGCCTTGATAAGGAACGACCTTCAGAACGATGTGTTTCGAGGTGCCATTCACCGCGGTAAAAGAAAAAGAATGACCAAATTCAGATCTCACATTCAATTCAAGAACTGCCGAAGCACTGTACCTGGGACACAGATTACCTGCCTAATCAAATCTTATATCATTCACCATACATCTCGGATAGCCCCAACCATGTTTACGGAGTACTCTCGTTTCATCACTCAGAGGCGAGCTCAGGCCAAATCTTCTTCGTAGCCCACATCCTGATACGCGACCCGAACAGATACACAGGAACAGTAATGACTCCCAAAACACCAGCAATGACGGCGAAGATATTCATGGCGCCCTGATATCCAATCAGATTGATCAACGGGACCGTGGAGTAGCTCAGGCCAAACGAGATGAAGCCGCGTCCTGCACATAGGACCAAGAGAAGCGGTCCCGCCTTGCTTGGAAAGCTGTCAATGGCGTAGGTGATGCCGACAAGGTTGGCTCCCAGGAAGGCAAAGTACCCAAGGTTGTAGGGGGCTACGATAGTCATCCAGTGCCAGCGGTCAGGGTGTGCGCCTGCCTGTCCGAAGAAGACGCAGGAGATGATGGCTGATAGAATGGGGACACTCAGGATGATTAGTCTGTACTCAGGCTGCGAAGACGAGTTAGCATCGGCTCGACATACATACCGGAGAACTTGTAAACGTTGCTTACCTGGAAGGTTCCGCTCTTCCAACTACTCATGGCCCGCACCAGCATATCAGATCCGTAGCCGAGGAGAGGTACCAAGATGACACAGTCGAGGACTTGTACCAGCTGGACATATCCCAGCCAGTCGTATTTGAATGTGTAAGGAGGTGCCATCAGGATCGTTGCAAAAGTTGAGGCTTGGTAGACGTAGATACCCAAGAAGGCGCCGTTGAGTAACAACATCCAGACGATGTTTGGTAGCAATAGTGATTGCATCGTCTCCTTGTAGAAGATGACTGTCTGTTTCCACTCGGGCTTGAAGTGGAAGATTCTTAGATTATGGCGCCAGGTTCGGGGTCCAAAGACTTCGGGTTGCAGAATATGGTTTTGTCGTGTCAGGACCTGGACAATCATCTCGTTGTCGCCGTTTTTGTTGACGTTGCCTTCGTCGTCTAACTTCAGATGGACAGCGCCCCCTATAGCGATATCGTATTAGTCTAAGCACGCACAAGTTGACTGGGGCCCCCAAGATACGGGCGGAACCTACTGTCGGCATCAACTGGTCGATCATACTTTGTTTCTACAGCAAAGAAGAAAGCCAGGACAAGGATGACGGCGTTGATGAATGTGATGATTAAGTACCACCACTTGAGTCCCATTGAAGGGACGATATAAGCCGTCGCAACGAACATCGCCGCCGTCCCTGCAGTTTGAACACCAATGAACCAGGACAGCTTGGCGCTTCTTTCGTGGAGGAAGTGAATCTCTTCAATTATGAAGGGAGCGAGTGCCTCACTTTGACCAGCGGCGATGCTGTAAAAGTTGCGACCTGCGATATGGCTGCTCAAGGACGTCGAGAAGGCGCACCATAGACCTGACAAGACCAGCAGAACTAGTGACACGAGGAATACAGGCCGCCTGCCTATAGTCACGCAGAGCGGCATGGAGAAGAGGTTTCCTATCCCCATGAATAGCGTCGGGTATGTGAGAAGGTCCGTGGCTCGCGTGGCATCCTCGGGGGGATACTCCTTTAGTACGGAGGGGAACACGGCGCCGAGACCGGATGTGACAAGGACGGCGATGGCGGAGTATGAGCCGACAACAAAGATGATAAGGTACTTGTGCCATGTTGGAAGGTTGAGGGGGTCTGTCTCCCGCCATTAGCATTAGATGTGTCCTGCTTCGCAAATTTGGTTTTTGGGTAAGGTATGAGATTTGGTAGCTTTACCTTTGGGATCAGGGCTAGGAGTGGGAATTAGGACAACTGAACCGCCTTGAAGTAGCTGCACGGTCCCGTATGCCTGATCTTCCTGCGCAGTGACCTTTATTGCCGATCCCTCGATGGTGTCAACATGAGGCTCATCATCTTTGGTGCCAGGCATGGTCGGCAAACGAGGCAGAAATACTTCCAACAACTCAAAAGACGGTCGGCAATTTGGCGTGAGGCGAGCAAGAAAGTTGATAGGACGTTGAAAATTGTCACAGCACAGACCTAAGCAGCAAACTCAAAGTCGTGATGCCGGCAAGGGCCCGTTGATGAGGTTCCATGCTTCTGACTATATACGAACTGATGTCTGAGCGGTTGCTGTCGCTTCTAGATCTCTTTGTGTTGACTGTCTATAGTCCTAATAGCCATTTCAATTGACTGTATTGAGTCTCATCAAGTTGCAGGAGTGTAGTGTGTCCTGTGGTCCAATCAAAGCTAGACCATTATCAGAGAATAGCTTCATTGGGCTGTCGGCTCGGCTCAGGCCCATCAACTCCCGATGGTCACGGTAGAAGCGTGCCTTAGACCAATAGCATTCCTACCGATCACAGGGGCTAAGCCTACATGTACGGCTCCCCATGTTTGCTTGCATTGTAAACCCCATGGGGAAGATCTAGGAGTCTAACCGCTTCCAGAGTCTCATTGGCCGAGTAGACATCTCGTTGTGAAGAATTATGGCAAACACCCTCTGAGATAGGCTGAGATTCCCAATCT